AAGACAAATATACTGGTAATGAAAAATGGAGAGATCTTTAAAGAAGAAATGAAGAAAGGAAAAAAAAAGGATAAATGTATAAGGAGAGGAAAAAGGGGAGCTATAGTAACTCTGCTTTTCATAAAGAAAATAGAATCGAAGAGGTAAAAAAAATATAGTAGACAGTGAAAGAACAAAATAGTTGTAAAAGGAGATTGAAATAATATAAAGTTAAAATTAGGCTGAAAAATTGAAAAGTGTAGAGAAAAAATGTAATTAAAAAAACAGAAAAGAACCTAAAAAGAATAAATTAGCATATTTGATCGTCTGCTTTGGGATTGAGAGAATTGCATGTTTTCCGACGATGCCTGTGGCCGATGTGCGAGTAAAAGTAATGTGGATGAGTTTGAAAAAATCTTTTCAAAGAAGTGAATCATATAATATTAACCTGGCTTTGATATAGTGACAAACCAAGTTAAACTTAATAAATATTTGATTGGAATAGTAACACAGTAGTTGTATGTTTTCAGATTTTTAAAAATTAATTTGTGTGCATATATAAGAAAGTAGTTTTTTTATATATATATCTCATACGAGTAAAAATATAAGAAAAAAATACAACTGGAGTCTTTAAGAATAATTATTTACAGTAACTACGTTTACCATGTTCACAGTTTTATAATTTTCCAAATTTTACGTTGGGATTGACATACATGTTGCTATGCCATGAGATATAGCTTGCGTCTAGTGATTTTCCCAGCGTAGCTTAGATGTGGCGCAAGGCCGAAAGTAGGGGGTACCCAGTGAGGATCGAACTCACTACTCAATCGTAATTGTTCTAGCGAGACAAGCTTGCTAGCCATTACACCACCTCGAGGTGCCCATATATCTTGCATCTAACTGGAGTTCGGGAATTCTTTTCGTTTTATGCAAAAAAGACCCCCAAAAAACAAAAAATAAACAAATTGCGATCAGTTCTGATTGGTTGATTATGATCACGTTATCAGGCATAGTGATTTTTGCGCTAAAAATTGAGGATCATACAATTTTGTTGTTAAAAAGTAGAAGTTCCAGCGTTCTGTTACCATGGCTGGTGACAACAAAGTGTGAAGTTGTTCACGTGTCAGGAATTTTAAATTACTGGACCTTAGTGGTATTCTCCAAAAGGTTCAATGTACATGTAACCAGGTGTGTGTGGGACAGATAAGAAGAGTAATGGTTAATCAACTTTCTAATAAAAATTATCCATTAGTAAAATGGATAAGGATGATACGTGTGCGTGTATGTGTGTTGATAATTCTTTGGGAATTTTGCATTTTCAACTTCTTTTTTTTCTTGGGAGATTTGGCGTGCTTGCTTAGATTTCTGACCGTTGCACGGTATCAAAAGCTGCAGCGAACACTTCCGATTAGATTTAAACTTTTCGGCTCAGGTTTTTATCTTAACGCTTTAAAGATACTTCACCGCCCAAACTGCTATTAACAAATACTATTATCTTACTCTGTCACTTTCTTTTCTTTTCTTCTTTTTTCTCCCTTTTCTTTCCCCGTCTCACTTTCCTCTTAAGGTGTTTCTCCATATGCTTTTTTTTCTCCCCCAAAAACAATTTGAATAATGAGAAAAAGAAAGTGACGTCCCGTAAGCGGCTTGCGTAAAATAGAATTGTTCATAACAACTTTTGGTTCCCACCAGTCGAGATGCATATGCATCGAAACAAAAATGCATCTTTCTCTTGAGTAAGTTGCTTTGTCCCTATGCAAAAATTATAATACATACATAGATACCTACATACATATATATATATATATATATATATATATATATATATATATATATATATATATATATATATTTGGGCAGTAATCTCTCTCTCTCAAAATATATATATATATATATATATATATATATATATATATATATATATATATATTTGGGCAGTAATTTCTCTCTATATATATATATATATATATATATATATATATATATATATATATATATATATATATATATGTTCCTTTAAAAAACGACTGACAATGTACTGCGGTTAAGCATTTTATTTAATTTTTCTTGTGGTCGTATAAGTGTTTTCTTTTTTGGACACAGAGTTCGTGAAAAACTGTTTAAAAGTTCAGCATTTCATAGGTAAATTCAGGTATCAAAAAAAAATTCGTCCATATATATATATATATATATATATATATATATATATATATATATATATATATATATATATTTTTTCTAAAGAAGTGTTGCTTTTTATATATTAATCCAACAGCATAGTATTTTTACTCCAGTTTTTGGTGGGGTGTGGGGTTAACTATTTGCCCATAGCTGGGACCCAAACAGGTGCTACTACCCCGGGTCAGGGTGTACCTGGGAACACCAGCAATTAAGAGGTGGTTCGACGCTCCTCAAAACTTCCTGATCAGAGGCTTTGCTGTTGGATTTAGTTTATCGTCTTAACCAGGACACGGATGTAGTTTATCCTCTTATCCAGGATGAACATTCGAGTTGAGGTTATGAAACTAGTCTTCTGAACCATTACAGCTGAAGTGACTTTCGAGTATTATACTATACAAAGTCAGTTATCAATAATGGTATATATTATTTAATATATAATCAGAATGAATACGTCTATACAGAATCTGGAAAAGACATCTGAAATTCATATCGTGAGGAAGGAGGGCTTGGAAAACTCACGGAGCATATTAAAGGCGAGAGTGATAAGGGAGGTAGCGAGCTTCTTACCTGACGAGCTTATGTGAATGGATGAAGGAACGGGGGGGGCGGTAACATTAACAAAGGGAGAACAAACTACTCAGAGGCTGAAAGAATAGGAGCTTGTGGAGAGACATGATCGTATGTCCTGAAAAGATCGGGTAAAAAAAAGAATGGTATAAACTGAACGTAGAGAAGAAACGGTACATAAAAATGGTAAAAGTATCGTAGATGGAAAGAGAGATAATAGAAAAAAGAAAGGCGATAAGTAAATTAGCAAAAGACAGTGTAGATACTGTCGGAAACAAGAAATGGTCGAGGAAGATCGGCAAAATGATTAACCCAAAATAAAAGAAAAGAAAGGTTTTGACCCCCAACCCCGAAAAAAAAATAATAATGAGAGAAAGAAAAAAAAAAAAAATCGAGATAACGAAAAGAAATCGCGTAAATGTGAAGATTAGCAAATGAGTGGGGAAAACTATTTTTCATATTGGCCAATAAAAAGAGAGTGCCCTACGGGTGAAAGTTTCTGCTTTGAGGTTAGAGGAGGTAGGGTCACACACTTAATTCAAATATGTTAAAAATCCTGCTAAAAAGACAAGATTCTAAAAGGCTTGATGACGCATATGAGATTTAGGTATCTACGCGTCTTCCTTTTTAGAGCACAGACGTTCAATTCATATATATATATATATATATATATATATATATATATATATATATATATATATATAATATATATAATTGGTGTATACGGAATGAATTCCAATAACCAACAATTACTATTCTTAAAAGAGTGCTCAATACAAAGTAGAGCAGATATAATTATTATTTATAAAAAAAAAAAAAAAATATACATAAATATATTTAAAATCACTACAAAAATAGCCATTTAATTTTAAATAAAAACCATTTGTTTTATCAAGTGATCATTGATAAGAAACCATTTATTTTATAAACAAAACAAATGGCTATTTTATAATGATTTTATAACATATTTATGTTATAATTATTTTTTTATAAAAATATATATATATATATATATATATATATATATATATATATTTATAAATTTATATATATAACAGCATGCTCATGCTTGATTCAAAAATCGTACGACTCATACAGCAATCGCTATCACTTGACTTAAAAATATTTTTGCCCTTCCTTGCCTTTAAAGGAGTGCTCTTTGCCGTGCTGATGTTGCTATATGCCTTACTTCTTGCCTATCTCACACTGCGAATTTTTTCTAAGCTCTATACTAAACATTAAATCTGTTACAAAAAAGAACTAAACAAAATGAACACAAAACGATCAACTTTAAAAAAGGACTCGAAACTGGAAAAACCGAATGAAAAAAGAATGTTAACAACAAATACTTTTTCCCACCAAACCCAGTTTTGTGGAATCAGAATCAACGTTGAGTTTAAGCAAGCGAATGAGCCAATTGGAGTAAAGTGCCATGCAGATTTAAGTTTTTCCCACTTGTGACGAATGCAGCTATCGATTTTTTTGTATGCTAGCATGCTAGTTAACATTCTTGTGAGTCAGCTGTTGGCTCTCACGCTGGCCAATAGAATCTTCCTGCCTATTCGTGGCAGACAGCTATAGGCTCTCATTCTGGTCAGTAGAAAATGGCCGCAAACTACACGGAAACTGCTGTAGAAGCATGAAAAAATCGATTATTTCCACTATCGATGGGAGTTAGGAAATGCAAAGTCGGTCTTGGGCTTGCCACTATCTTGGAGCAAGTGCATGTGAATTTTGGTGCAAATCCGTCGAAAATTGTGGCCGTGCATTCGTAACACACACACACACACACACACATCCATGGATTTTTAATTTATTAATCTGACAGATTTTTATTACATAAACGTTATTTTATTTTATTAAATAATTTTATATTATTTATTAAACAATATATTTATTTTCGTCTATCGTCCTGATTATTTGAGAAATCTTATTAGAGGAAAAAGAATTCGAACTTGCGTCCCTCTAGAGGAAACCGTCATTAGGTCTGGTGTGCTTTAACCTCTCGGCTACAGAGTGTGTCGATGACCAAACAAAGCTGAATAGTACATTTAAACACAGTCCATCCTCTGCTCAGTTTCGTATCCTAATGTAAACAAAGCAATTTGTAAAGAATGGGATGGATGATTTAATCCGACAGGTTTTATTACTTAAACGTTATTTTTAGTGGATAAACATATTTGTGTAGACGTTCCGTTTTAATTATTATACAGTATATTTAATTAGTTTCGTCTATCGGACAGAATGTTTGAGAAATCTTATTAGAAAAAAATATGAACAGATATGTCTATTTCAAGAGTCAGAGAAAGACCTGTGTTCTGTTTATCTATCTCCTTCTGTTCATGTCTATTTACCTCCTTCTATTCATATCTATCTATCTATCTATCTATCTATCTATCTATCTATCTATCTATCTATCTATCTATCTATCTCAGTCTGTTTCTTTCTTTCTTTCTATGTTTCTTTCATCTTATCTATCTATCTATCTATCTATTGATTTATCTATTTCTAGTCTGTTCATATTTATTTATCCCATTTATTCATTCTATTTCTATCTATCTATCTATCTATCTATCTATCTATCTATCTATCTATCTATCTGTTTCTTTCTGTCTATATATCTATCAGTCTGTTTCTTTCTTTCTTTCTTTCTATCTATCTATCTATCTGTTTCTTTCTGTCTATATATCTATCAGTCTGTTTCTTTCTTTCTTTCTATCTATCTATCTATCTATTTATCTATCCATATATCTATCTATCTATCTATCTATCTATCTATCTATCTATCTATCTATCTATCTCATTCTGTTTCTTTCTTTCTAAGTTTCTTTTCTATCTATCTATCTATCTATCTATCTATCTATCTATCTATTTCAGTCTGTTCATATTTATTTATCCCATTCTATTCATATCTATCTATCTATCTATCTATCTATCTATCTATCTATCTGTTTCTTTCTGTCTATATATCTATCAGTCTCTTTCTTTCTTTCTATCTATCTATCTATCTATCTATCTATCTATCTATCTATCTATGTCTGTCTGTCTGTCTATCTATCTATCTTAGTAACCAGTATGTACATGAAACCTTACATATACACGAATTCATGCAAAAATTGTCAATGGCATAGGAAAGAAGTGCTGAAAAGTTCTCAGCCAGACAACGGATAATTTTTCAGCATATTCTCGCATTTATCCTCGTACGCTGGCATATTGCGAACAAACTAATGTAAATTCGCTTTCTTTCTCTTTCTTTTCAATTTAATATGATTCCGCTTTTTCGATAGGGAAAATAAAATTTAACTTATAAGTAATAACAGAAAATATCAAACGAGAGAACTCCCCGGAAATTGTTATCAGTTAATTCATCGGAAATTGGATCTATCGCTTATCAAATAAATTTCACCTGAATTCTTCGCGAGGAATTCTTCATTTGTGTTTTCCTCCCATTTAACTTATTCAGTTACACAAACATTTCTCTTTTTTAAAATATATTTTGTTTCGTTTGATGGAATTTTGAAAAAATTTAATTGCTAACGAATTTAAGAATATTCTCTGCTGCCATTGGTTGAACAAAGAATGAGAGAAAGGATCAATCCAAGTTGATTTACCGACCACCCAGCCACATACCATCAATTTTTCAATCTATAAAGTTTCTGTCATTTCTTCTTTCATTTATTGAAATTCTTTTTTTTTTAAACAATTTTACTTTTTGTTTCATTCATTTATTCATTCATTCGTTTTATAGCCATCTTTTTTTTATTTTCCTCGTGCTTTCTTGCCTAACATTAGTGTTTCTTTACCAACCTTTGTCTTTATAGCATCTTCATTGCCATGTCATTTAGTTTTGCATCTTTTAATTTTACTTTCGAATTCTAATTTTCTTTAAGTTTTCTTTTTTTCTAATTTTCTTTCTTTTTTACTCGTATCAGCTTTCTTTCATCTATGATCTTTTCTTTCTTTCATCTATGATCTTTTCTTTCTTTCATCTATGATCTTTTCTTTCTTTCATCTATGATCTTTTCTTTCATGTGATTGAATTTCGTTCCGCTCTAGCTTTTCTTTTACGAGCTTTTCTTTCTTTCTTATTCTTTCTTGCGTTATTCGGTTAGCTTTTCTTTTTCTTTCTTTCTTTTTTCTTTCTTTCTTTCTTTGTTTTATTTTACCTTTTTCTTCATTTATTTTGCTTTATTCTTTCTTTCTTTCTTTAGGTTAGTTTTTAGTTTTTCTTTCTTTCTATCATCCGTTCTTTATTCGATTAGTTTTTCTTTCTTTCTTTCTTTCTTTCTTTCTTTTCTTTTTTCTTTCTTTAGGTCAGTTTTTAGTTTTTCTTACTTTCTTTCTTTCATCCGTTCTTTATTCGATTAGTTTTTCTTTCTTTCTTTCTTTCTTTAGGTCAGTTTTTAGTTTTTCTTTCTTTCTTTCTTTCATCCGTTCTTTATTCGATTAGTTTTTCTTTCTTTTTTTCTTTCTTTCTTTCTTTTTCTTTCTTTCTTTCTTTCTTTCTTTTTTTCTTTCTCCCGGCTAGTTTTTATTTCATTTTTTCTTTCTTTTCTTTCATCCGTTCTTTATTTGATTAGTTTTTCTTTCTTTCTTTTTTTTTCTTTCTTTCTTTCTTTCTTTCTTTCTTTCTTTCTTTTTCTTTCTTTCTTTCTCCCGGTTAGTTTTTATTTCATTTTTTCTTTCTTTTCTTTCATACTTTCTTTCTTTATTTGGTTAGCTTTTATGTTTTTTTCTTTCTTTAACACCAATGTTTCTTTGTATCTTGTCATACCTTTACTTTTCTCTGCTTTCGCTTTCTTTATGTCTCACCTATTTCTCTGTCAAATATCCATCATCGAATCCGTATTCTTTTTCTCCTTCCTTCCTTCCTTCCTTCCTTCCTTTTCCTTTTTCCCTCTCTCCTTTCTTTCCTTCCTTCTTTCCATTTCATTTTTCTTTTTTTTGTCATCATGATCATATTCTATTCCGCTTTCTCAAAATAATCAAGATATACTAAAACCTTTTTTAGCTTGATAATTTCAAAAGTTCATGACAATATGTAAGTAATTTTGAAATGGAATTGGTTACGTTTTCTGTTTGTATAATCTGGGATTTTTACCTAAATAGTTAACTCTATTAATAATGAATTCTACTTTGTAAAACATTCAGTAAATATATTGAAACAAATCTGACAAAAAAAATGTAATGTATCAGCTGCTTCATCTCGCTTTCTTACTCATGAGATATATCATTGTTATAATAACACGGGGAACGTTCGGTAATTGGCATTCAATAACGTCCACTGTTTCCTTTTTTTTAATTAGATTCCCTCCAAGTAAGGTATTAAAGCCACTGAAACACAAGGGGTTACTGGGTGTGGAAGAATTTCAAAATGGAGACACCACTGAGGAGTGAGTACGAAAGAAGATAAATCAGGAGAATAGTAGATAGCGATCGACATTGCATTTAAATTTTTGAAGATGAAAGTTGGCTGGAAAGCCTGGAGCCGGAAGGGAGTTCCAAAAGCGAGCAATGTGAGAGAAGAAACTGTCTGCATAGAACTTACGGTTACATCGAGCGAAATCAAAAGGTATATCAATGAGATCTCGTTGCCAGTCTAGTCAGTCAGTTATGTGGCATGCATGATACACGCTTAGGCGATCATGTATCTTTCTATACATGACTGACAAGGCAGTTTTTTTTTCTCGCAGTAGGTTGCCATTTCTTTCTGCGGCAGACCAGTTGCTATCCATTTACACATGGCTGGAGGGGGAGAAGAGGAGGATACATACCTTTCCCAAGGGTATTAGCAAGTAAGTGAATGGAGTGGATTCGACTGGAATTCGAACTCGGTCTATCCTGCTATTTACACATGGCTGGGGGTGGGTAGGGGAGAAGAAGAGGATACATACCTTTCCCAAGGGTATTGGCAAGTAAGTGAATGTAGTGGATTCGACTGGTATTCGAACTCGGATCTCTTACTCCTCAAACCGAACTATGCTTATATTCATAAAGTCTAAGTATCATAGTGAAGAGCTCATCTGAACAATTACCATGAAAGTATGTATAGAAAAGGCACAGTAAAAGCAAATTTTTACATCAATAAGAAATGGAAGTCAGTCTCCATGACCGATAAATATATAAAGTAATATAGAATAGATTTTTTTTTCTGTCAGTACGATTTGGTCAACATAATTGACTACATGACGGTGTGAAAGTTTCTTTAAATGTTCATATATACAAACTTTATTTGTGTGCTGTGTTCCATCTGAATATAGGTGCCCTTGGAACTCTTAGCAATATTTGCTTTTTATTATCCCTGCTAATTTTTTCTGCCATGAATTTCCTAAAGATCGTTACGTAAATTAAACTCTGTTCTCATCTGGGCCGCTTGCTTTCATGATTGGGAGCGTCAAATTTTTCAAACTTTTTCCTCATTATGCGTTCTAGAAGTTTCACCTGTTTTTTTCTATAAGTATTAGGTTGGTGCAAAAATAATGTCATTTTCTCTTTTGAAGTTGTACGTCAAAAAACGACATTAATTTTGCACCAACCTAATATAAGTGTTCTTTTAGTTTCCATTTCTCTTTCATCTTCCTCGTTGCTTAAATGCTCTGTCCATGGTATTCTCAGTATCAGGAGCACAGATCTGTTCCCCCAAGTCTCCTTTCCATCTGCAAGGAAATTTTAAGACATTCAATGCCATATAGGAAGGTTGATATTACATAACAATTTAGCCATCATTTTTTTTTCATTTAAAAAAAATGTTCCTGTTTTTTTATACTTTGTTTCACTTTTGGAAAGCACTTTTTGCTCTTCCAGTTCACCTTCGGATCTCGGTGCCACATTTTCTGTAATTCCTTGAAACACTTCCAAGATCCTTTGTACTTTATTCATTTTGACATCTACATTTCGAAAGTTGCCTCTTGGGGTGTTCAGCGATAAGATCAAAAAGAAAAGCGCTGAGAAGAAAGTTAAATTTAATTTTTAGCGTCTTTTCATCTTCAGCAGGTGTACAATTATATTTTTTGTTTATATTTCCCACCCCGTCCCTTAAATATAGATAATTACATAAATAAAAAAAAAAGATCATTATTTGTTATTTGAAAAAAAAGTTCCTCTGAAGAAGTCCTTTTGAAGGACGAAACGCGTTACATAGCATTTTATCCGTTTTATCATTCGACTACCCCAAAAATAATGAAAACTAACATAAAACCTACTATTAACACGAGTTCTCAAATGTCATACGTATTACAATATAATTTAAGAATTATCTTGCCCTTCGGGATATTGTATCTCTAATCCTAATAATAATAATTTGATCTGGTGCTCTTGCTATATATCTCAGGGTTTTTGACAAAATCCCAAAAAGGGTCTGTAATGTTATCGATCCTGACCTGAGATTTCGATATCAGTCAATTTCTCACAGTCATCTGTCTTTTCAATAAATATTTTCATGACAGTTATTCTAATAAGCTTTCCTGGAAACTAGTGAGGGCTTCATAGAGACCTTGGCACATTATGTTGGCTGTAGTAAGAAAGGTAAGTAAGAACGTATTGTTTTTGGTGTAAGGAATACTGTGGTTTGTTTGGGTCATTAATAGTGGCTAACTAAGTTTAAGATAAGACAGATTGAAAACCAGCCTTCCCGTCTACACGTCTCTTGGTCTCGTGTCATATTTTTTTTTTATTATAACAAAATAAATATTGCTTTCCTGCTTGGTACCTCGATCGCATGAATTTAAGCGTACTACTAGATTGGTTATTAGGTCTTATTGTTTTACTGTTGTATGAGCAAGATGTAACCGTATGTTCAATTCTAATGAATTTTTATCACACTTCTCACCTGTGGAATTTTCTCCCGGTTTCTTTTTTCCATGCCACCTATAATTTTCAAAAAAAAAATGCAACGTCAGATGCAATATTATGTCTTCCTGAATCCTGTTATTTTATTGCCCTTCCTTCTCGCTAACATCTTCGCATTTTCTTTCACTCACAGTAATTCCTTGGCTGTTAATGGCCTCATCGACTTGCTTGGGGTGAAATGATTACAAAATAGGTTAAAATATAAACAGAATTAAATTCCAAGTGACACGACACTGTCTGGTATATTAAAGCGTTAGTTTATACCTATGGGTAGCTGGCAAATCTGGTCGTTGGTAATGCCGAAAAGTCACATACTCTGGCTTAGTGTAAGAATCGAACAAGAGACACAAAGATACACAATACTCATGAGTATTAGCTGCTACAAAATATTCCCTATGCATTGAAAGCGTAATGAGAACAATCTACCTCGTGAATTGAATACAGGGGTTGGTTTGAAATTCCAAGAAGGACAACTAAAAAAGACCTATGGGTAAAACGGCCGAAATGTTTTAAGTATGACAACCAAGATGAACATGCTTATTTGAATACCAAAGCTTAGAACATCTTTCAACTTCCGACAAAAAATTTACATTAAATTCTAACATTGGTCTCATTACCACCACACTCTCTGGTAGAATGACTTGGGCAGTTCTTACATATATCGATCAACACATCAGACTACAAGATTGACATAAGATAAATACTAGCAGAAAGTAATAAAATATTATTCGTAGTAAAAACACAAATCTCATGAGGCAATTATTAGACAAAAGAAATACTCTACAAAAATATCTTTAACCACAGAGAAAGCAAATGATATTTTCTTTCTAAGGCACTCTATTTTTTTGCCTCCAGCAGATTCATTTAAAAAAAAAATATTATCCCTGAATTTTTGAGGCATCTCACATCGCGGGGTCTTCTTTAAGATAAGTAAAATGACTTTCGCATCTCTAGATCAACTGCTGATATTTTAACAATTATTGCTGAAAGAGTCTATCACGCTTTAAATATGGCGATATTCCGGCGGTTGCTTTGGACATACCGCAGGTATTTGACAGGGTTTGGCATGAAGGTCTTCTTCGCAATTTGAATGTTTATGGTATTTCTGGAAGAATTTTTAATCTGACTTAGTCTTTCTTATCAAATCGCGAAATGAAAGTTGTCTTGAACGAATATATATCTATGTTCTGCAAGTATTCAATTATTTCGAATACTACAATTTCTCATTATATACGTTTTGTGCAGGGTTTCCGGCAAAGCATCGCATCAACCAAGCACATCAGTTCCCAATGCGACTTCATATTTTTCACGAAATCGCCGTCGAAAGGGAGGGGAAATTCAAATAGTTCATAAGATTAAGCAGAATGCAACGAGGCAACTAATGGGTATCTTAAAATTTTATTTTACAGGCGGCTTTGAAAAGTGTAAAGGATGCAAGAAAAAATGTGTGAAATCTCAAAGATGTATTTCGAAGGGGACAAAACTGTTATTAGGATTATCTTCATTAGTCTAGTTTTAAAGAATATTATATTGTGACGTCACCCCGTCTATCTCCGCGCCGTCGCCGTCCTATCCTGTCCTGTGATGACCAATGTGACTTGGTATTGGTCGCGGCACCAAATGTGACGTTCTAACCTTTTTCTGATTCGGACGGGAATCTGGTTAGATTCGGTATCAGCCTTGTCGTTCCCAGCTCGCCTCCAACGTCTGGTTACCGAACTAACCTACCCAGGTAGACGAAATCAATCAGTCGCCGGGCCGTAATGCAAGTCGAGTCCGAACAAGGGTAATAAATCAAACGACCAGATATGTTGGCTTGCATATAATCATCATTTGTATTATTCCAGCTAAAAGTTGGTACTCGTATTTGAG